GAGTATTACAGTCTATGCGTACTATACGCCGATACGTATTATACGAGCAAAAAACATAATTTCTCGATAATTACTGACTGCGGATTATACGCCGCATACGTACTATACCCGCATATTCAGGGTACATATTGTAGGCTATTAAAAAATAATTTTCTAAATAGACCTTAGTTTATAAAAATATTCATTGCTATAATATATTATTTTTAATGACTAAAATATTTTAGTATTGTAGTGTACAGTCTTATAAATTATTTTTAAAAATAATTGTAATTACTTTATTTTAATTAACAAAGCTCATGCACAAATTTATAAAAGATCACATTTCTTAGTATTACTATCAACCCATATAATAACGTAACGTTGATTTAACTTATCACCAAGTGTAATACCCAGGGTAATTTCGGTATTGCCATTAACATGCTTAGCTGACACCTCCTTGTCATCTAGAGTAGCGTTCACTGGGTCAACCTGGGCACCTGTATTCACAACAATAACCTTGCTTATTTTCGGATAAACTTTACCAGTGTACCCAGTTTTATCCACCGTAATCACCATGGTACAATTAGCATACGTCGCCATTGTATATAAATTATATTTATTTCCCCCAATGGTGTCGATCCCCTCCCTGTCGTCCCAAAACAGCTCTCCCCTACCGACCACTTGCGAGTCATTAGAGGGGACGACCACTAAATTCAATGTATTTATCGACGGCTGAGAAGTGGATATGAGTTCCTCGTCGACGACCATCGGTATGATAGCGCCGCCCCTGAAGTGTATGGGCGGCGGTCCGTTGGGCTGGGAGTCCGGTATAGACACGTGTCCCACATGTGAGGCTAGGTTTAGGTGGGGTTTCACTTCATACCAGCGCTCACTGGCCGGTAGGTATGCCTTCACTTCGGTTTGATTCTGCGGTTTAGTGGAAAGGGATTAGTATTAGGGAACAGTAGCCGAGAGAGAGAGACAGACTCAGGGAAGGCATACCTCGAACAGGAAGGGCGATATGAGCACATCCCGGCCCCACAAGAATTGGGTGTCGATATCATGTGTAACGACATCCCGGGGCCACTCGTGATGCATGGGTCGGGCGACTGTATCGCCAAACGCTTGGGACCGGTAGAACAGTGTGTATAAGTAGTGTATGAGTTGGTACCGGAGCCGCAGCGAGTTTCGGGCGGCCTCAGTAACCTCCGGGTGCCCACGACTGACCCAAACAGCCGGGTCCTGATCTATAGCCGACTTTTCGTTGTGGTTTCTGGCAAAGGGGTAAAACGCCCCCAATTGGTGCCACCGGCGGCACAATTGGGGTGTCGTGTTATCGTTGAACCCACAGATGTCGGAGCCAACCTACCGGTGCCATAAGTGAAAATGTCAAGATCATATTTATTAAATAGAACAATAATAATAAAAGTAAATTTTTAAAACTCGTATGACAATTATACTTTTTTAAATTTCACCTAGTTAATTATTGTAGTAGGGCGAGTGCATTAAATGTCTAAAAAATAATTATTATAAAATGTAACTAGGACATTAATAGATAATGAGCCGGAAATTAAATAGGTATGTTTATTAAATTGAGCTTACTTGTTAATAAATTTAAAATAAAAACTTACATAATTAACGCCAAACATGTTGAACTCCAACATGCCCACCACTGAATGGTGTATCATAGGCCAGGTAGCGTAATTATCGCCCAACCAATGCCCAGTGTATCTGCCCGATGAGACATACGTAGTACGCGATAAAACAAACCCCCTTTTACCAGTAGTCTCATGTATAGCCCTAGTTATATTAAAAATAATTTTTAATTTTAAAACATTTTTATATAAAAAAAATGATCGTTATACTTTTGGGTACTAATCGCCTCGTATAAGGCGTACAGATCGTGGACGTCGTAGTGTTGGTACTGTTCATCCTGGCCATGGGTGGTAGTCATGCATATAGACCCCCACGATAACTGTTTCGTGTTGGACAGTGAATCTAGAAATTAAATGATGTTGCTCATTAAATCATAATTCTAAAATTCCAATTATTCCAAAACTTACCTGATCTGATTGGTGGGTAATCGAGAGTATTATTTGGACATTTATCATCGAAATTTGACGGGTCATTCATATCCTACGTATGTAATAAAAATATTTAAATTATGTACTAAGGTAATATATATACCTTTAATTATATATATTAAAAATTATTTTCCAAATTATGCAATAAATAAGCTACGTACAATCCAAAGTGCATCAAAAGGTAACGCAGCATGGAAGTCCTTAATTTGTTTCCGCCACCACAAGTCCGTTATATTTTTGAAATAATCAGGAAATGCAGCAGGGCCATGTGGCCACATTCTCCCATAATACGTATCCTTATCAGTGGGTACGTCCGCCGGGTTATGCCTGTCCTTTACCGCCACGCTTTTGGACCATTTGACAAACACGTCGTCTTTGTAACCATCGATAAAGGACTGGTACTTAGGGTTGTTGGCCTCGATGATCGGGTCTAATATGACTGTCCAATGAAAATTGTTATTGGTCATGGTGCTTTGGAACAGCTCCGGGAGTCCGGCGAAAGCACCATGATCGTAAGTAAAATCTTCAAACCTATCCATGTAGTCGATGTCCACATACATGACGTCCTAATAAAATTAAAAATTTTTCTTAATTACGACAGCTTTTAAAAAAAATTAATTAAAAATATTTACCAAGGGTACTTTCTCTTTAAGATTTCTGTCGATAACCTCTTTGACACTTTGGGTGTCTTTCCAGCCGTATCGGCACAGTTGGTACCCGAGGCCCCAGAAGGGAGGCAACGTTGACCTCCCGATGACCGACGTATACAACTGTATCACGTGTTCGGGATTATCGCCCAAAAACACAAAAAAGTCGAGGACTCCGCCCATGGACTTTATGGATAGGGCGGGTTCAGGCAAAAATGTATAGTCTATAACCAAGGACAGATAATTATTAATTGTTTTTTATTCATAAATAACGTCCGCAACAAACCCATGGCGTTGCTGTTGAGGAACAGTACTCCATGAGCTTTGCCGTCCGACTCGAGTACCGTATAGAATGGATGAACACCGTACTCGTTGAAATTACCCTGAAGCAATTATATATTTTTATTTATGTAAAATCAGTATGTGCTATTAATATATCAGTAGCTTGTATCTATTCACCTCGGTGAGCGGTCTACCATTAGCAAATAGTGGCCAGTTTTTATAGTTTAAGTCATGTCTCAAGGTTTGGTGTACATTTTCACCTAGACCATATACATTCTTACTAGCTAGATTAGTAGCTATTTGTAGGAACTGGTCAGCGAATACCAGTCCCCCAATGGATGTGTCAAAACTATAAATTTATTTTAAAAAGTATAATATTAGTTGACGTTATTTATTACCATAACTTTTACTCACATTTTAGTTTTAGTCTCTTTCCGGGTTATTGTAAACTGGAAGTCCTTAGAGTCTGTTCTGACATCTACCGAATACCGGCGCTTCGACTCATCCCTTTCCACTTTATCCATGAGATTGAACACCTGTTGCACCGGTACTTCGTATCGCTTATTCTTGGCGTCCCTTATCGTAAACCTCACAATATTTTCGGTCATATATTTAACGGTGAACTTTAGGCTCTCGATCGACGGCATAGACTTCAGTGTCTTTTTAGCGGTGTCTTTAAGCTGTAGGTCAACCTCCTGGCCCTCATCAGTCTTTTTGACCGCACCGGCCATTTGATATCCCACTTGTTTGATGTCCAGATAGCATATGGGAACACCATTTGCCCCGGTATGCGGTATGTTCCATATACAGCCCCTATCCTTGCATTGCTGTTCAGTTATCTTAAAGTCATCTAATATTTTAAAAATTAATTATAATTTTAAAATACTTATTATATGTATTATAATACTTACTCTCAATATAACAGTCCAAACGGTTGTTTAGGTTATCGGCTAAACAGCCGCTAAATACTAAAACTAATAATAAAAGTAATTTCATTGTTTTTAGTTGCTAGGTATAAAATAATAAAGTTATACAAACACGAGTATTATTTATATATATAATTTTTGGTTACGTCATATTAATCTCATTACACTAAAAGCAAATACATTTTAAGTTATAATTATATATTATGGAATTTTTTATTTTTACTATAATCAGTAGCCTTATTATCAATAGTTAACTTTATCTATCAATAATAATTATTATCAAACAACCTTATTTTCTAATAGATATAATGTCAATTGTTTAATACAGATAACAACATGCTTAATTAATCTATAATTTTTTATAGTAAATGTATTTTATTGACTAACTCTTTTTAAATGAATTTTTACTACTTTATAATAGTAGTTTAATAAATTATAGATTTTTATCCAACTTTATTTAATACAACTACAGACAGTACAGTAGACAGTTTTAAAATTTCAAAACAATTTAAATAATATAATTAATTTTAAAATATTTTTATTTATTGAAATAAACTACTTCAATTTTATATCTATCTAGGATGCTATTACGATAATAAATAAATAAATATTTTAAATATAAGCTTTAATTATTTATTTATAATTAAATTTCCATATTAATTATGTTGGTTTTGTAATATTTAATTAAATATTATTAATCCAGTTGCTGTAATAAAACAATATATAATAACATTAATATTTGACAATTTAAAAATACCAAATAATTTATGATTTAATTTTTAAAGTACATGTATCTTAATTGTCTTTCTAACAAAGATTATTTAATACAACTAATTAATCTGACATTTTAAATACATTAAATGTTTAAAATAAAAAATTAGAAATAAGTTTGTGAGATACTTAATAATTTTTAATATATAATTTATATTAAAATTATTTTTATAAATAAAATGTATAAAATTCAAATTATAAATCAATGCAAACAACATTTTTTATTACAAAAATTCAGGTAAATTAAATTAATTAAAGTTTATTAATAATTCGAGTGTTTTTTGTAAATAATTGATTAGGTTATATTATTATATTTAAATTAGTTTGCTTATATGTTTTAAATTTTATAACCATGGTGCTAATAAAATCGGTAAATAAAATGACCAAAAATCCAAACCATAAACTCAATACGCTAGCCAATAGACATAAATATTCCTCCATGGACATTTTATAGTTACTTTCGTAATAGATATCGGGCTCAACGCTATGTTTAATTTCAAAATATTTAAGACCAAACTTATTGTTTCTAGCATCAAATTTATAAAATTCTTGTACGCAATCAACTAGCTTATTACATTTAATTTCGCACTTACTTTTATAAGCTAGTATATTTGTATTTTTTGTAAATCGTGATGTTGTATTTAAATTATAGCATAACATGTTTCCCGGATGTCCCTTGTTACCAAGGCTATTTTTAACCATACATTTATTAATACAATGAGACTTTGTTTGAAAAAATTTACAATCATCAAGCCGATATTTATACATGTTGTTAAACGATACTTTATAAAATCTAATATCGTAACTATTATAGGCAGCCGCAAATTCAAAAATATTAGAACTAAATACCCTAGTTGATCTTGGGTGAATTTTGACAAATTTGATATATTCATAATTAATTGTTATGCGAATTGTAGATTTTATGTTTTTTAGCGTATACATCCCTGATGAGTCATCACCTAATTGCGAAAACAGTGTCCAGCAGCATTTGTCTTTATTTATAGATTGTCGATACTGAATAATAGTGTCACATTTTCTATTATCTCGCTCATTATCGACAATAATACATTCAAATAGCTCATGAGCAGTCAATAAGCTTTGAGCTTGCTCGTTGATTGACATGTTATGGAGCAATGCTATTTTTTGGTCTCGTATCATAGTGCCATTATATTTAGTTATTTTTGAGCTTATGTTATATTTATTCAGCATATGTGGTGATATAATATCTAATTTATTTATACATATCGTAATAGCCGGTAGTGATAGGCCGACCTCCGATTCGTACTTAACATTAGTAGTGGTCTGGTATAAAAAGTATAGTACACTTATTTTATACGTTTGATAAACGCACCCCGCAAAACACAACATACGGCATATTATATTATATATAATTTTAATGTTACAAGCCATATTTTAAAAATTGTTTTCAAATTAATCCAATTATAAACTTCAATAGCTGCATAAATATAATACCCAAATAACGGTCTGTCCTTGCACTAATAAATATTTATTCTCTAATATTGAATGCCAAAAACAATTATATTATTAAATATTTTAATTTCCTAAATAAAATAGTTTTTTAGTATGAAAATAATTATTTTAATTATTTTGCATATTTGGTATATAATTATCTAATTATATAATTACAGGTAATTATCTTTTTAGGTAAGATAATTTAATAATAATTTAGTATTTACTAAGCTAATACAATATTTTATTATAATTATTAAGTTTGATATTTGAAATGATTGTTTTGTGTTAGCATGTCAAAATATTTTTTTGAATTAAAATAAAAATCAATGAATGAATATGAAATGTGAAAATCAATTTTATTTATGTTGTATTGTATTATAATATTTATATATAATAAGCTAATTTATTTTATATATCTGAAATTTTATTCTACTATTTTTGATAACAAAAAATAACTATTATAATTATGCCAAATAATTTAATTGCCATAAAAAGAAATGTTTATTAATTTTAGTACAATATAAAACAAAAAGTTTACATTGATTAAATATAAATGGTAATTATTGCTAATTAAATGTGCATTTTAGTTACGTTGTTTGGCAATATTTTATTAAATATTATTAATATTGTTGCTATAATAAAACGCTAAATAATAATGTAAATATTGGATAATTTAAAAATATAAATAATTTATAATTTAATTTAAAAAATAATAATTTATAATTTTCCACTTAACAAAACTTATTTTTAAATATATTAGTAAATATTTATAATCTAATATCTAAACTCTAGCCTTTCTAATAGCCTCAAGCTCATATTATATTTAATCACAATGGGTATAACATGCTGTTTAATGATAGCGTATAGAAATATTTCCACTTTTAAATAATTGTGTATTATGAGAGTGTATTTTGACATTTACAATTTATTTATTTATCATAATATTAGCAAGCACTTTGCCAATAGTATTCGTAAATAATATGACTGAAAATCCAAACCATGCGCTAAGTGCACTAGCTACTAAACACAAATATTCCTCCATGGACATTTTAAAACTTTTTTTAATATCGGGCTCGCCACTATGTTTAATTGTAATATATT